GTACTCAAGACAATGCAATGCTTTGTTTTGTTTTTAGTTTCATTAAGCTATGGGTAAAATAGAGCTCCAACACCACTAAAACATAATGATGAAATTGAAACAATAAACATGTATCAATCACACTTTGGCTCCCAGGACTACAATTTTTCCACGACCTTGTAATTAAAATTACAGCAACAACTGCAGTTTTGCAAGAGCACAGCTTATTCCCAAAACCTACCTTTCTGAATTCAGGTACACTCTAAAAAAAAGGTGCTAAATAGCACTAAAAGTGGTTCATTGGCTTGTAATCATAAGGGAACCACTTCAAGTGCCATATAGCACTTAAGAGGTGCCATAGAGCACATTAACTACCACAGAGAACCACTGAAGAGCCACTGAAGAACCGCAGAAGAACCAAACTGGGCTTAGGTTCTTTATGGTAGTGGTGCTATGATGCACCATGACCACCGCAAAGAACGACTGAAGAACCCTTTTTTTTTAGAGTGGTAGGCTACAACGTCTGGTTGAATAGGATCCCCTGCAATGAAAAAAAATAAGTTGAAGAAAATTTTAAATAGTCTAAAGAACATGATGAATGAGTTGTCATTCTGGATGCTATGCTGTCCATTAAGGACTCAAATGTGTTAGCTGCTACTCTTCTCCATTTATCCAGCATGATGTGAATGCCCTGCAGCACACTACTTATAGTCATGCATTTTGCTCTTTTTAATTCACACATGCTTCAATACATGTAATGCAATACATTCAATGCATCAGAAAGACTGATTTCAAGCTGTAGGACATATACTGCCATTTATAGGTTAATTTATCATACAAAAGAGAGATCTTTCTCATCACACTGGATGAACGTATTTGTCACTGCTGATTCCAGGTTTCATCTCCCAGTACTACATCTACGTCTATACAACAAAATAGGCCCAAAAACATACAAAAATTATATGACTAATCAGGGGGAAAGAATGTGCTTCATTAGTATTTACCAAACAACGCGTACATGACACAACGCGCTATTGCAGACTCATTTTAACTGTGCATCTAAGGATTATATGCTTCTTGCTAAAGCACAAAGAGAGCTAAACCAATACTGTCATGACAAGGACCTCATGCCAAGACAAATCTGCAAGCACATTTAGTTAGTTTTGTTTCCTCAAATGAAGCGAATGGAAACAGACTGTCCTTTCACCGTTGCTTAACAAGCTATTGTGTTCAATCTGGAACATTCCCGGACTCGTCTGTTAGAGAATGAAGCGGCAAAAAGCAGAGAATCCAAAAGCCAAAAAAACGTTATGCCTGTCGAGCAAAAAATCTGAATGTTCCAGAAATATCAGGAAGGGCCAGCTGGCTAGTTGACATCCACAGGCTGCTTCCTTCTGTCAACATGTGAGCTCTTATTATGCTAATATGCTTGAGCTCTTTAAGTTAAACATTATTTTTTTATGCCAGGTCCTTTTATTCTGCTCAAATCCTTAGTCAGCGCAGGGGTCAGCATTTTTAAATAAGCTGCCACATTTCATTTACTGTAGCAAAATGAACAGACGAAAGGTCTATCAACAAGAGGCCATCATAGTTTAATGAATTCTATTGATTAGTCTTCCCTAGACTCTGGCTGGAATATAACCACATACGGATGCTTCAGAGGACTGCTGATTTACATGTGCTGAAAGGTACAAAGCACATCTATTCATTTGTCATGTGCCCAAATGAATAGTGAAAAATAAGTTCCCCTTTTGTCAAAATAAAGTAACCTGTTGTTGCACCTTGTTTTTTTTTTTTTTTTTTTTTTTTTTTTGTAATTAAGTAACAATGTTAGGGAGGCAATTCTGGCCGATATCGATAAGCCAATAATTATTGATAACCGACAAATCAACTGATAAATAGATTTAAACATTCTATGCATAAATAAAATAAAAAGAATACACTGAAAAAAATGAGTCAATAAATACACTAAAATTAATTATTTAAATGCTACATTTAAACATTTATTTAAACATATTTAAACATTTAAAAGTTAATCAAAACACTGATGTTGTGTTTTAAATAGTGTTTTAAAATATTGACTTAGATGATGGTCAAAATAATCTAAAATGTAATTAGAGAAAAGGAGTGTTCACAATTAAATATTCAATATCTATCTACCAATGCTAATACATAAAAAAAAAAATCAGACAAGGACCGATATTGACTGATATCGCAAAAGACTGTTCACATCTAATCCTGTTTTAGGGCCATGAAATAATTTAGTTTGGTTCCTCCTCATATATCTTATGTGTGTGTGTGTGTGCCCACTGCCGACTGCATCAGGTCTGGCTGTGATGGATGAGGTGGATTTAACTCCCAGCGTTGTGTGGACTGAGCTTGGCTCGACTGAGCGAAAAATTGTGGGCTCAGAAGAGTGGAGTATATTCTGCCAGTAGACGTTAGTCTTGATGGGAATCTTAGCTGACACGGGGACCTTGACAAAGCAAAATATAGGGTGGGCAACTAAAGTTACTCTCACTCCATATAAAGTGGGCAACTGTTATTGGGGAAACAGTAACAGTTCTGGCCTGATGAAAAAAACAAGAGAGAGCTTGTTTAAAATGCCGTGTTTGCTCTTTCGTTTAGCTAGAAGTTTCCTTTTATTCATTTCTAAGTCAACTGCACCACTGCAAGGCAATGCAAGTGCTTTGAAAAGAGGGAGCTGCATTTGGAGGGATAACAACAAGCCAACAACAAGTCAAGAAAATACAATACAAGAAGCCTGTGGAAGTAGATATGAGCTTGAGTAATGATTTTCTGCTATTAAAGACCCCATTACACCAAAATGAGAGTTTAGTGGCTTGTGCACTTCTAAATTTTGAAAAAAAAAAAAAAAGTAGCTATGGATATTTACAATTCAGTCTTTTTCTTCTAGGTAATTGATCCAAAAAAAAAAAAAAAAATGATGACTCATACTGCACCACACAGAATTTTGTCCAATCAAGCACTTTCTAGTATTAGAATACCCCTCCCCTTATAACTTCAACAAGTAGCAAATCTTGTTCATGGCTTTTAACATGAGTCAGTACGTTTTTTTTTTTGTTTTTTTTAAGAATTCATACTTTTAATCAATGAGCATTAAATTGGTCAAAAATCAGTAAAGACTTGCTACCAAACATGTCTATTTCTAATTCTGTTATTTTAAATGTTCTATTCAAAGAATCCTTAAAGCAATGCATCACAATTGTAACAACAATAAGAAGCACCATGTTTTCAACAAGATATACAGTATAAGTAATGTTACTTGAGCAATATAAACTAACTATAGAGAACTTCTAATATTTGGATCTTATAACAATGTCTGCACTGCCCCCATCTGGTGAAAAAAGCTTAAAATAACCAGGACTCAGAACTGCTTTGCTCAGTTAATTTTAAAACCCAATTAAATTGCTTCCCATCAGCATTTTATGGCATATTTTAGTGTTGCAGGTTACAGTGATTAATAAATGGTTTACAACATTTTGCCTTTTATTATTCACAGATGTCTAGGTCAGTTTTTAAGCACATTCAATGATTTGAGATATGTAATACTTTTAGACATTTACATTTACATTTAGTCATTTAGCAGATGCTTTTATCCAAAGTGACTTACATCTGACGACTAAATCAAACAAGTCATTGTGAAGAGGCAATAACAACACAATAAATCCCCTTATAACTTCACCGAGGCACTTGGGACCGAGGCAGAGAGGAAGACCGTGGTGGAGCTTAGCGGCAGAAGACAATGGTGGAGCCAGAGGGAAATTGGAGCCCGATTGCGCCAAAGGAGAGGAAAGCTGAGGCGTAGCCAGATAGATGTTTGATGACAAAACACTGTAGCTAATTTTTATCTTTTAGTTCTCTACTTTACACAATCATTTTAAAAGCATATCGGGTCATAGGGGATATCATTTTTAGAAATTATTTTTACAAAGTGCATTCAAACATACATATTCTTGCATAGTCATACATATAGTCTCACTTCATGTAGAGATATGGGCAACCAGAAATGACTGATAGTTTGTAATGGTTGTTGCTATTGTAATAAAACTGGACACATCTTAGCTTTTTGTCTTTTTTATTTTCTCTTTGTCTACTGTACTGTGAAGGAAAACACTGTCAGTTGCCAAATTCTTATTTTCTTATTTTAATGTCTTATTTTCTGTCCCTCATTTTTGTCAAGGGCGGGCAAAGGAAGATGAAGGAGCTGGGAGACGTGGCCATTTTATTATTAGTCTCATAAAAGGGGGCAGGAAAAAAGGTCAATTGGAGGAGGGACAGGAGGAAGAGTCTATGGAGGAGTGGGAAAAAGAGTTCTTGAGGCAACAGGAGAAAGAGCCCACAGGGGAGTCCGAGTCAGCAGAGTAACCTAGTTAAGGACCTGGAGGAAGACCCAGCAAAAATGGAGGGAGGAGCCAGGGAGCAACCCACATCAGACCCATGGGGCAGAAAGTCCAAGGTGGAACCAGCAGAGGGAGGAGTTCTGGTGTGTGTCTATGTGGAACAAAGGGGACTTACAACAGAGGTTGAGCCGTGAGAGCTGGAGACCTGGGCTGAGCCGAGGGGCCGAAAACACAGAGTGACACTGCATGTCTGGAGGGCCAAGGCAGAGCTGTCGGCTCATGGGACCGAGGCAGAGAAGAAGAATGTGGCGGAGCTTAGCGGCAGATGACAATAGCAGAGCCAGAGGGAAATTGGAGCCCGATTGCACCAAAGGGGCGGAAATCTGAGGCATAGCCAGAGGCCTGGAAGGGACGAGGGACGAGCCAGAGGGATGAGGGAGCCCGGCGGAGCCAGTGGGATGACTGTCCACGGTGGAAACGAAGGAACATGGAGCCAAGGTGGATCCAATGGATCAAAAGTGGAATCATGTGTTCAGAGGCCTGAGGTGGAGCCAGGGGGTCCTTACACCAACATGGGGCTTAAAAGCCAGCCCATTCTCATCCCAAGGCGTCATCTATTCTAAATGACGCCTAGGAAGCATTTTGACCATGCTTCAATAAAGCGGGAAGCCAGTTGCCGGTTTTGTTCCAAACCTATTGTCATGGAACAGAAGAGTGCAGACACTGGTAACATCTGAACTGAGTTTATTGAATAACACACATGAAGTTATCAGGCGACTCTCTGGATACCAGATTGTTATAGTGGTACTGGCATGAGTGACAGGTCTTTTCTGTTGCAGGTTGAGATGAGAAATGACTAAGTCAGGACTGAAGGAAAAAGGACTGAAGTCAGGCAGACGAGGATACAAAGAAGATGAAGGATGGGACAGTAAGATGCATGAGTAGGTAAGCCAAAGGTAAGTAATCAGGTTGAAGTTCAGTGTTGAACAACGAGACAAGACAACTGTGATGAGGAGCGTGACTGATTATGTAGAGAGATAATTATCCAGTGCATGGGTGATAAGTGATTAACTGTAGCAGGTGTGATGATGATGGCTGACTGAGTGCAGGTGGGAACCAGAAAGGATGCTGTGCAGGTGTAGTTCTGGTTACTGGGTTGGTGACTTTTGTGACACCTTTATGACACAAAAGAAGATAATCTAAACCAAACAGTTTTGGTTTCCATTGACTCCTTTTGTCTGAATGGGAAAAAAAAAAAATAATAAAATAAAATATTCCGCCCCATAGAAGAAAGTCAGTTGTACAGATTTGGAACATGAGATTATTTTATGTATCATGTTAATGTGCTGGTTTAATATAATAACTTAAATTATTCATTCACATCATTATAATAATTGATTATTTTAAAATATTTAATGGCCAAAAATTTAATGGCCAAAATTTGATTTTTTTTTTTTATTGAAAGAGATAGGGCATGCATTAGCATAAGTAGCAGTAATGTACTTTTTTTTCTTTCTATATTTTTTATTATTATTATTTTTTTTTTGCATAGCCTACTAAATAACAAAGCAATGAAAAAATAGCTGAAACCTCCACTGTTGCACATTATACAGTCATACAAATTATTCATCTAAATTGCATTAGGAATGCATTTGCCATTATCAAAAAGGGAGAACCTAGGAATAGAATCAAATGTTGATTCACTGATAGTGCAATTTCCTGTAAATGTCATTAATTCATATGGAATGACCTCATGCTGCACAGTAACAGCAGCAAATAACAAACAGCTGCTTACCAAGGAAAGCAGGAAACCCATGGCGCAAATGTGTAATCTTCTTCCCGATTTTAGAAGTAAACTGTAGAAGTGCTCAACTATTTTGTCTTCCATAACAAACATACCACTGAATGTCTGAAGAGAGGAAGGAGGAATATCACAAGTGTCACATTTAAGCTGCACGGGTCAACGGGTGGATTTTTAAGTGGCATGAAATATCCAAAATCACTTCGTACCACACATAGACCACCAAAAAGGGGAGGGTCAGCGTCATTCACACCAGGAGAGAGAGAGAGAGAGAGAGAGAGAGAGAGAGAGAGAGAGAGAGAGAGAGAGAGAGAGAGAGAGAGAGATGGGGGGTGTCATCATCATTGAGTGTTTGGGTTATTTTCCGTCGCGGTAGACCTCCTTTTGGAAATTGTGTTTTGAAAAGAGTAAAAAATACTGTGAACGGATACCGAAGAAAACTATTCGACTCTTGACTCTGATTCTGTCGACTTAAGGTAATGTCAACATCTTTGTCGCCTGAAAGACCACAAGCAAGGCATTCAGCACATTTGAAGGACTGAACACATTTTTGCCTACCGCATAGGAAAATGCATTTCTGCATATTATTATGTTCGTATGAGCGGAGCGCGCCATCACCACAGCATATACGACACAACAAAAAAAATATATCAATCGATTAATGATTGCATGACGGGGGAAACTAACTGTGCAACGCTTAAATTAAATTAGAAATCCATTCTGAATATATTTTATTGGTTTCTTTATTATTTGGACCAGAGGCAATTTTAAACTCGTCTTTGTTTACATGTGCGTATTGCGAGGGCTGAACTAACGTTACTCAATTTGGATACGGGATAATAGGCTACATCTTATTTCCTATTCAAATATCACTTATTAAGATCATATGACGTGTTACATGAAATTTCTGAAGCCAATCATATCATTATAAGAAGAGTTAGGGTATGATTAGGGTTTGGTTGAGGGTTAGTTGCATGCAATTATGCATAATTTACTGTTATTACTAGCCTACATGCAACATATGTAACAATTAAAGACACTGTAAAATAAAGTGCAATTCCTTTATTCTATTACTTTAACATTGAAATATTACGTTAAAGGATTAGGATCACAACATAACTGGCTAGCCTATTTTTTTTTTTTCTTCCACAGAATTAGTCCCAGATCTCCATGTTTGCATGACCTGTCACCTGCAGCGGAAGACTACTGATTTTTGCAACAAAATTAAATGGGTGGTTGATGCCAAATAACGTAACATTTATGGCTTGAAAGAAGATGCCAATGACTCGTGCAATGAACACCATTTTTCCATTTGCCTTTCGGGAGGTATTCCAATGGACCTAGAATCCAAGGCTGTGTAGGTGTGGATTTGCCTTTGACATACAGTAATGGGTTGTGGAGGCTCCAGGACAGATGTGTTGGAGCCAAGATATATGGAGAGCTGGACCAAAGAGACAGAGTCCACTTGGCTGGCAAGCACAGACACAGACATCCCCCTGTCCTCCATCCAGAGCATCCCCTCAGAAAACTCTTCAGAGGAAAGCTTCCCATCAGAGAAAACTGGCAACCTTGGTGAGAATGGACTGAGCTCATACTTCGAGGCATTTTTAAAAGGTTTTGAAAAAACACAAATCTGTATTTGTGTCACAATATGCCTATCATGTCATCATATCTAAGTTAACTGTCTAATTTGACCTTAGACACCCCAGTTTTAACACATCAAAACCTTCATATCAGATGTCCTTCCCAAAAGGACTGGAAAGTGTTGCGAGTCTGCTGTTGGTGTGCAATTCATTCATGTAGGTCTCTTGTTGCCATGGCGATGGCTGAATCCCTTTAGTACTTCAGTACAACAGTATGAGCAAGGATGAACACAATAAGCACTCCTTATCTCTTTGTGCAGAATGGTTACACTTGGGGCAGCTACAGTAATTAAATTATAATATTAAAATAAACTGATTGCAGATTGTTAAAATAGACAACATGGCATTGACTATGATCATTGACTATGACTACTAGAGTAATTAATCTAGGTCTTCTTTTGTTTCAAGATTCTTAGCCTTGTAAGCAAGACGCCAATATATATAAAAACTTATTTGAAAGAAGAAAAAATAAATAAAATTGATCAAATTAACACATTCTTGCTGAATAAAAGTATTACTTTTCTATCTTTTAAAAAAAAATAACTTAAAACCAAACAATTGAATGTATCACTGTTTCCACAAAAATATTATGCAAGTTTCAATATTGATAATAATTGTTATGTTTCTTAAAACATAAAATGTAAGCATTAAATCATCAGAATGATTTCTGAAGGATCATGTGACACTAATGATGCTGAAAATTCAGCAAAGGAATAACTTACATTTTAAGATATATTTAAAAAAAATGTTTTGAGGGTGGATGCATGGATGGATGTAGCCTATATGATTGTGAAATATTTGTGCTATGATGATCAAAAGAATGAACAACTTCCATATTTGTATCCGATTAATTAGATCTCTTTGATGACGGTCTGCCTGGTCCGGGTCAGGCATATCTGAAAGTGTGTTCTGCCATATCTGAGGTGGGACTGAATGACATGAAAACTGGCACTGGCACCACCCCTGTAATACTCTCTCCTCAAGAGCAGGAAGTGCTGTCTTCTTCTGCGACCACAGTGCAGAAGAGAAGTGTGTTGCGAACTGAGGAAATTGTAAGTATTTTTATCCAAAGTAATGGTTTAGTGCAATCTTCTGCACCTAGCATTTGTGACAGTGTTATATAATTTTTTATATAAATCAGTTTTATGTACCCTTTCAACCTGAAATTATCATTCATTTGGTTTAAGCAGCCTTTATTACAGTATTTCACTTTTAAACCACAAACAATTTATTAGAACATTAAAATTGTAGCTTCCTTTCACATTAATGAGACATTTGAGCTTGTTTGGCTTTCACATTTTTTGATAGTTCAGGGGGACATTTTAGAGAAACCATCTCTGAAATAAAATATGTTTATATGACATTTTGTTTATTTATTTGAGAAATGACTGGTTCTTTATTGGCTTCTATGGTTCTATAAAGAAGTTTGCTCCATCAATTGAACCTTTCCTTGGGACAAAGGGTTCTTTAAAGTTAAAAAATATTTTTTTAAAGGTTCTTTAGGGATAGTGCAGGTTTTAGGAATTGTGAAAGCAACTGAGGGAAAACTGTAGTAAAATATTAACTGTCATGTCTGATAATCTGTCTGTGTCATCTTCATTAGACAAAATGGCAGGACAACAGGATGTCCACCAAGCAAGTGACCATCACTGTGACTCAAAGTATACGGCAAGTGGACAAGAGTGGGAAGATCAAGGAGACATCGCAAACCACCTATGAGGTCATGAAACCGGTGGATTGTCTGAAGTCAGTTGACTCAGTGCCTCAATGATCTCGTACCTCGTGAAGATTGTATCCTCGATTTCTTAAAAGCTTTGGTGAGGATGTCATGGACCAAAGAAGTACAAAGCAGGGATGACCTAAATGAACAAGTTAATCTGTGCTTAATCAGTGATTACCAGGTTTCATTCAAGGGTCATTTGTTTGTTTGTTTCATCATTCAGTCACATTCTTCTTTAATAATGTTTATTTTTATGTACATTTTTCCCCTGTAATGTCTATGTCATATCTCTTTTTTTTTTCATTTTTTGATGCCAACAAAAAGAATCTTAGTAAATGCATTTGCTGTACATACACTGAAAGCACAGGATATCAGGGAGGGTAATCAAGAGGTGGATAATTGACTAGGCTTACTGAATGACTTTGAAAAAAAATATATATATTTACATTGTTTAAAAACATAGGAACAACACAAGTGTATTTTTAAGTAGTTTGTTTATTTGAAGTTGATGCATTGCTTCAATGTTGATTTTAGATTTGAAAATCAGGCCTTTTTTGTATATCCCGTACACTTACTATCACACAATTGTTGCCTTCAAACAGTGTTTTTTTGTTTTTACAAGAGCAAACATTTGTTCAAAACCTAATTACAGTTTCTGTAGCAAGTTAGCACTTACTGTAAAAAGGGTAATGTGCAAAAATAAGAACCTCTGTTCTATTGTTCCAAAACTGTTTGATTGCTTTACTGACTGGAAGATGCTGTTTATTGAGTTATTAAATATTTATTGCAGTACTTTGAAAGCACATAATAACTACCGTATCCTAACCTTTCTCTCGGTCCAGTCTCAGAATGAATTGGTAACACAAAGGTTTCATGTATTAACATTAATAGGTTAATGTTAATTTCTGAATAGCTATACTAATATATTTAAATAATAACATTAGATACCCTTTTGAAATAGTTTATTATTAAGCATTAAAATCTGTTTGTTTTTATTTAATCAAATTTTCAAAATGTATTATTTATTCAAATTCCTTAGAATCAGCATTAATTCAGTTCATTTTAAACAAAATTGTAATCAGTTAAAAGGTATGTACAGTTGGTTACTGTGTATTTAAAACATATTTGGTTTAATTTTATTAGTAACGTTATCAACTAATTCTTGAGCCACTGACTGGGCATTGAACAATCATTATAGAACTTTATAGCTCTTATTTGGATTAATTTTTTTTTGAAAGGAATGTTTTGAAAACCTTTTATTGTTTACCTGAAAAGTCCATAGAATTGAGCTTGCTACGCTGATGGAAATATTTATTGAAATTTACTGCAAATCTTACATAATAAAACACATACAAATTAATATAATGTTGGCAGAGCAGAAGTACAGATATTTAGTACTAGTCACAAAAGAGAAAAATCAAAATAGAAAATAAAATGCAGCAGAAGAGAAACATTATGTGAAAGTCATATTCATGTAGCACTGCAGAAGTACCATCAGCCTAGAGATCATCACGTGTTCTGGAGAGTATGAATTTGTCTCTCCTCATTATATTCAATAAGTCCAACTCTAAAACGTGGTTCCTCCATAACTAGCCATTCACCTGCATTGAATTCTGGAAAGAAAAATGAAATCTCTCTCTTGGCTGATTCAATAGAATCTGAAAGAAAAAAAAATATATAAGGCAATGCTGAATTATTAGTATTTAGAATTGTTAAGAAATTTGTCTTTATTTTATAAAAATGGAGATATAATTTAGGACAGGGACATTGTAATCCAATGTCCAGCTTTTAATTGATCTAGTCTAGGGGTACCCAATCATGTTCCTGGATTTCTTCCTACCTGAGAGTTCAGATCAAACCATGATCCAACACACCTGTCTGTAATTAAAGTGCTCCCAAAGATCTTAGTAAGCTGGTTCAGTTGTGTTTGCTTTTCAGGAAGGTAGATCTCCAGGAACAGGACTCGGCACTCCTGATCTAGTCTATTCAGTCAGTTAACTGTTCAGTCTTGAAAATCTTCATCAAAATAGTCCATGTTACTCTACCTGAACCATGAGTGGTGTTTCTGGTGTCAGTCAGCCCGTACTGGCCTCGAAGGGTGTCTGGTGAAGTGAAACGAGCTCTAAACACTTTTGTAGGACCCATCATTGCCCTCCAGTGAGTGACAGCGTCTTCCCTGGCTAGGACGTACGCTCTCATTGGGCCACTATTGTGGGAATAAGAGTTCATGTTAATAGCAGGATTAAACAGAGAGCTGTGACAACCTTGTCTTTGACCAGATGGATAAATAGAATTTCATTGAATTCAAACGGAAAAGTGTGATAATTTCTTCTATGACGTCAATAGTACCGTACATACAGGCCTAGTCAACAAAGAGTAGTACTGACTTAGTGGCACTAAGTCGGCATGCAAATGGAACAAAAAATGAAGGAGAAATCAGTGGCTTATTTTTAAATTACTCTGATGTAGACTGAAATACGTGTGCGGCACTAACGTTTTATCTTCCACAGACAAAGACGTACTGATGACAGGGTGCCATGGTAACATTGGTCCCGTCTCACTGTTCAAACTAGATTAACCGCTACATTAACAACGAGCATTGATGTCCTTCTCCACTGATCATATATCTGCATTAATAGTTCCTTTCAAAGGAAAGATGGGAAGTACAGAATACAGCATCAGTAGTATGGGGTTGGTAAGAATTTTTGTGAAAGATTTTTTTAGAGATAATTATCTGTAATATTGGTTCATTTTAATAATTGTTCATTTTTTTCCACAAAATTATTATTAGCCTAGAACTTTAAGTTGCATTGTTTATATTTAGTGAGAAAATGATAATAATGTTTACCTTGACATGAATTCAACCAGTCTTTGATAGAAAAATCGTCCTGTAAAATAAAAAAAGGGATGATAACAATAAACCCTGCTTGACTGTTTTTATATATCTTTTTTTATCAGTTTATCCACTGAACCAACAAGGGTGATGTGGTTTATGCAGCAGATTTTCCTGCAATATGTTAACATGGTCTAGGCAAGCTTTTGCACAGATAATACAGACATCTAAATGCAAGACAGCTGATTTTCTTTGGATGCAGGAGATGATAAGCTGAGACTGAGTAACATGTTCTCTCTCCACAGGTTGTCACAACACTATATCTCCAGGTTGTGCGAAGCCTTTACTATGACTCACCCTGTTTAAAATCACGCATCAAATAGACACCCACCTTCACAATGTACTTGACCATTCAATCTGTTACAAACAGACATTCATTCATGCAGTGCATTTCCTAGAAAGAAAGATCTTTTTTCTACCTGCATGTTCAGCATAAAACTTTTCTGAATCTTTTGTCCTCCACATCAGATCTTTCTTTCTGATTATAATGAAGTTATCGAGAATCTTCTGATGAAGAGCCTGAAATTAAAATAAATAATATATTAATAAGTTTATTTGCTCCAATAGCCATCTGTCTTTCTTTAAACCAAAACTCATTGTTGGTTGTTAAAAAAATGCTGCTATGTTAATAGAGGCCTGTTGCAGTTTTGCTGTAGGCTTTTCAATTCATCTTTTCAACAGCATGACAAAGGATCTCAGCCAAAATAAAAATAGGGTTAATTTAGAGTTGTAATCTCCCAAAAGAACAAGGGTTAAGGCTGAGTGATCAAAGTATATCTCAGATAATGAAAACAAACATTTGATTTAGAATCCGTACTGAAGGCGGTGCAGTTTGACCAATCAGATGAAAGGGGCGTTTCAAAACTGCCCACGTGTGCAAATGAAATATCGAACCCATAAACCAATTTGTAAACCAAAAACGAAAAATGAAAACAATCAAGCCAAAGTTAAATTTTTCGGGTTTTTTTTAAAGGGACAACGTGTACTTTTTTATGTATTTTATTATTTAAAATTAATATTTTTATTCATAAATATGTCTTCAATGGTGTATAAATACCTCTGCCAATTTATGTTATGTTTTTATGGTTTTCATTTCTGCATATTCCATTCTAAACAGGAAATCAAATGACCAAAAGATACGGGCCCTTCTCAAATTCGTCTGGGTGAAAATCTGGTTATGTGTGTGGTTTGGCACTGCAAAATGATCAGTTGTCCTTCCTGTCTACCTCTTAGACATCTTGCATTATGGACATTGCAGTTTATTTTTCCTGGTGTTTTTCAGAGTCGGTAGAAAGGTCTCTTTAGTGTCCTAAATTATTGTGGCTTTATTTGTCTTCCACCTATAAACTGTAAGTGTCTTAATGACTGTTCCACAGATGCATGAACAAACAATGTTTATGGTTCATTCAACAAGCATGAAAAACATTGTTTAAACCTTTTCCAATAAAAATCTGTAAAGCTTAGGGTGATCAACAGTCCTATTTCCCCAGGACATGTCCTGTTTTCACGTCCTGTCCCGACTGTTTATGAAGTATTGAAACTGTCCCGGTTTTCAAAAAACTGCTGGGAAAGATCAGTTTTACAGCAAAATATAGATTGTAAAACAAGGAGGATGAGGATGAAAAACAGAATAAAGAGGAAGAAAACTAAAGACATAAATATATTTTGTTGGTTCAATTGAGTTTGTGAGAGCTATTTTTGTTTAATTTGGAGGTGTTTCTTTTAGTTACAATTATTTATATATTTATTTTTTCTAATGCAGAAGACACATTATTTCTATCATTATTTCATTCCTTATTTTTGAAAGTCTTAATAAAACATGTTGAGTAGTAACCTCTGAGAAGCCTATCTGAATTTGTGTCTTGTAATATAACAATTTTCTATCCATACAGAGGAGGCATAGTCTACTTTAAATGTATTGCAATTAATGAGGCATCTTTGAGTAAAATTCGATATCATTTGAGTATGTTAGACATGCCAAGTGTCCTGGTTTTTGGTCATCAAAATATGGTCATCCCAGTAAAGCTTTTTTGAATTGTACAAAATTATCTTCATAATCAGGTATCCTGAAAAGGTACGTTTAGATGGTTGGCAATGCCAATTCATTTTTTTAATTATTAATATAATCGGACAGGTGTTCATTAAACAGCTGCAATCATCATTAGCCTATCTCACCTCCAGAATGAGCGGATGGGCCACAGCATCTGGTTTGACGACCGCGAGGGTGAGCTGCAGTGCCTTCACACACCGCATGCTTGCGATGGCTTTAATTTCCTGATTTTACATCTACTAAAAGGCTTCCCCGTGTTTGGTCTACGGATCGATCTATGGTGTATAGTTACACGCTAACCAGCAGATGCAAACATACATGAGTGCTCGTGAACACTTCACTGCGCAGTTCAGGACAATATGGTACAACAAGATAAATGAACTTATTCAATGTACACGATCCAACAAAAAAAGGTTCGATATATCAGTTGGAGGAAAATTTGTTTTCAAAGTAAAGAAAAACACAACTCGATTTAAAAACTAGAGCTCTGTATTGTGGGTTGTATGGGCGCCGCCATCTTGCCCTGTAGTAAACATAGGAAGTGACAGACAGTCAGCGCGCAGCTGCTCAGGAAAATTTCAACTTTCTGATATTCACATTTTGTCAATAAATCTACAAAGAAAAAACAGCTTACAGCGCCAACACAATAGTTAATAATCGATTTTTAACTAAACAAACAATACCTCGAATAAATAGTTTATCTATCTAATGGTTTGTAGCCAATGTGTTATAGTTTGTTGTAAGCTCCATGCCTTTTCTTGTTTCCGTCAATATTATTAGATTTGGTGCCAGCTTACAGGTGTAGAAAAGTAGAAATGTGTAGAAAACTTCTTCTGTGTTTTTGCCTTTAACATTGTAACTTGTATTAATAACGAGATCTAAATATCCTTCTAGATTTTGGTTCTTAACAATCTTTTCTTTTGGAATACAACCAAATCCAGGACATATTGGGATCTCAAAAAGCTCTAAGAGTAAATTGTTGAATTATACACATTTTCAGTGGTTAGAAACCAAATAGGCTATGGTTTAGCCTATAGCTGATTGGTTTTCTTCTTCTTTTTTTCTTTAAAAAAAGAAGAAAGAAAACTAGCTGAAGAACAACTCTTGAAACTATTGTGTTAATACATGTGCCCTATAAATTAATCTGTCCTTTTATATGTTAAGAGTTTGTGCAGAATCTGACATAAAATAGGCTATGATCGCAAAAAAAATCCATTTGATGACTTGTGGATTATTTCCTTAACACTGAGTCACAGCTCCAGCTCACATGTCCTTTGTTCATTTTGTCAGTGTA